TGTAAACAATTTGCATTCTGACTAAAAAACTGTCCATTAAGTATTCCCTCACAACCTAACTAAAAGGCTAATGTAGGGATGAAACTTCCCTTTTAGAAGTTTTTAAGGAGAGGAGAAGAGGGTGATGGGTTATTTTTTAAGAAAAGTTAATTTTTTTAAAAAAGTAATTCAACAGGAAGAAAAATGTTTATTGTCATGTCATAGTCTATTTTTAAAGATAACCACAATCTACAGCTTTAAATGTACAAAGATGGAAAACTGGGGGGGGGGGGCACTGAAACTCAGGATTTCCTTTTCCAGTGACAAGGCTTGAAACCCAGAGAAAATACAAATACATGTATAGATTATGCCCCCAAAATATAAGCAAATGAGTACAATTTCAAATATTCAGCAAATCAAAAACCAGTATTATTTTAAATTATAATCTGCAGTTTAGAATAATTATTTATGGTTAGGCCTATGCCTCTTACCATTCATCCAAAAACCTTCCTGTACTTTCAATGACAAACTCTTCTCTAAGAGGTGCTTATACCAATGCTAAATCAAACATGGAATAATATACTATGTAATAGTGTAGTCAATGATGTTTCAAATAATAGCAAGTCACTGTAAAAAGTATTTCAGAAAGTACATTTGTAAGATTCAAACTGGTTTTGTATGTTGCTAAATTTTGTTTGGTTCTATATGATTTTCCTCATAGGTTTTTAGAAAGTATTCTGGGGTGCCTGGGTGGCTCAGTTGGTTGGGTGTCCAACTTCAGCTCAGGTCATGATCTCACAGTTAGTGGGTTCAAGCCCCGCATCAGGCTCTGTGCAGACAGCCTGGAGCTTGGAGCCTGGAGCCTGCTTTGGATTCTGTGTCTCCCTCTCTCTCTGTCCCTCCCCTGCTCACACACTGTCTCTGTCTCTCAAAAATTTAAAAAAAAAAAAAAAAAGTTAAAAAAATTAAAAAAAAAAAAGTATTCTGGGGGCTCCTGGTTAGTTCATTCAGTCAAGCATGCAACCCCTGATCTCAGGACTGTGAGTTCAAGGCCCACACTGGGGGTGGAGCCTACTTAAAATTTAAAAAAAAAAAAAAATTTTTTTAATATATAAATTTAAAGGATTTTCTCCTCCTCACCTAAGAATTAATAGATTATTCAAAAGATGACTTCCACTGTAAATGGAATAAATGTTTTGATTTTAGCAACTGTTTTGACTATTAAAAAGTTATTTTTGTTAAATCCTGATTATCTAGAACAGGATAGAAATAACACCCTTAAAATACTTGTGTTAGCCATCATATTTCAATTGATTCTCCCAATCTTATTACTGGAATTTCTAACAAGCAGTCAAGGTAGCTAATTTAAACTTACTTCTCCTCTCCATAAACATCTTCTCTAAAGAAATCTCGAATTAACAAAAAGATTACTCAGGCAAAAACAAAACAAAAGAACAAAGAATGAATTAAATAAGATTTTAAAAGTTCCATAGTTAAATAACTTATAATAATGACTAGCATTAAAAAGTCATGTGATATTTGTTTCATAAAGAGAATAAATGATCCTTGAAAAATGAAATCTCCTAATTCTAAGATCTGGTATCTATTCAAATCCTAAATCCAAAAATATTAGAATCCTATGAATAATAAATGAGCACTCTAAATGTTTACTGAAATGAAAATACCCTAATAAAACAAAGATATGGGCCATGAACTTCAGCAATTTATCTGCTGCTGAATGCCATGTTCAGTGTTGAGGGATTCAAAAGTGTAATGCAACAGAATTCTTTAAAGAACTCTAAAAGTAGATCTCTCTTAAAATTTTACAATACAAACAAGCAGTCTAAGCACTGTTAGTGATTAGGTATCAACTACTTAAAAATGGATTCAATAAAGTGATGAAAAATGCTTTACTGGCACTTTTCTCTTCTGTTTTTGCTTTTTCTTAGGTGGGGTGTGTACACCTAAAATGAGTAGGTAAACTAGACAGTCAGCAGGTTATTCAAGAGCTTATTTGTGTCCACAAAGCAACTGAATCCTATTTGGAACTATGTCTCTTCATCAAATGTCATGGCTAATGCTATCACAACTTGAACACCACACACTGAAATTTAAAAGGAAGTTTTCTCACAGATTTTCATTATGCCTGACCCAACCTATAAGGCAATAATGGAAACAGCCACTTGACTGAAATAAGTTCAGCTTTTTTAAAACTTACAACAAAAAACCACCACCACGAGAGTTAATTTTACTTTCAACTTTTTTACTGTATGTACCAAAAGAGTGTTAATTTTTCAATTACTTAGATGTTTACATCAGATCATTTCATTTGATACAGAAAAAAACTAGGTCACTACAAAATATGATAGGGAAGAAACAAGAATGAAACTAATCAAAAATTTCACACCTATACTGAAAGAGTGCCTAAGTTTAAAAAAAGAAAAGAAAGAAAAAAAAAAAAAAGGAGGGTTAAACAAAGTATGTTAATCAGAGACCAGGCTTCTAAACCATGCTCTGCCACATACTAGCTCTTTACCTTGGTCAAATAATTTAGAACCAGTAAACCTCCATTTCCAGATACATTAAAAGGAGGTAAGAGTATCCACCTCATAGACTGGAGATTAATAAGTTGTAAATTGTCTGATTAGCAGACACAATGTTCTTAATAAATGTTAATGTCCTTCTTTCTCCCCAAAGGTCCAATTTTCTGCATATAGTTATTAAACTTCGTACAAACTACTAGAACACATTCTAAAACAATCTACGGAAGAGGTTTCGTTTTTATTAACTAGTATGGTTAGGTAAACTCAATGGTCAACTAGTTTTTATTGAAGATGAGACAGTCATCTTAAACAGAATTCAAAACCCCCTACACAGAAGCTACATGGTAAAGAAAACTATAAGGGTTATTTTTTAAAGGGTTGTTTTAAAAAAATATGGGTTGCTTTAAAAAATAATTATCTACAATATTGTAATCCGACACTATGGGAGAACAGAAATAGTCTATCATACCACTCAAAATCTCTCAGCGGCTTCCCATTTCTCTTGGAGTAAACACCCAATATCCTTACAATTCCCAACCATGCCCATTTCCACCCCTTCCCGCTCAGATCGCATCAGCTCCAATGCCCAATATGCCCTTTTCCTCCATACACAATGCTCCAGTCACTGGTCTCACTGTTCCTCAAATTCTCTCTACCACATTTCTTCATGGCTTAATCCTTCCTCTCCTAGTCTGCTCAAAATTCACCTCATCACTGGTGCAGACACCACTACCCCTGTGCCCCCAATTCCCCTCCTTAACACTGCTTTTCTCCCACAGCACTTAACACCCTCTAACATAGAAGAAAAAGATATACTATGTTTATTATTTGTGTCTTCCTACTAAAACGTAGCCCTCTCAAGAGGTGGGATTTTCATCTTTTCAGTGACACACACACACACACACACACACACACACACACACACACACACTCCCAGTTCCCAGAACAGTGGTTGGCACACAGTGTTTCAATAAGTAATTACTGAAATGAATTAAGACCCTCCTTTACTTGTGCCTATGCAAAATAATGTGAAACAAGTTCTAAACAGACACCTTAAACAGGGCTACATTCATTTGGACTCATAAACTCTGTATTTATTGAAAATATAATCTTAAATTTCAAAGTCCACACATTTTTTAGAAAGCCATTAAAAGCACTGTAATTAACATCCATTAGTCATCCATTTGAATTTTGTTATTTAACATATTCATTAATAATACATGGATTTTCCTCTGCTTAAATGAATAATGTAATTTAATTTCAAATCCAATTTTCACAATTTCTCTAGATTTCATGTGAGTTAAAAGATTACATATACTACAAATACTGGGGGAAACAGTAAACCAGGAGCAAAGTTTCAGTTCTGTAACAAACAAACAAACAAAAAAATCAAAACCTCCTTGATCCTCAATTTCTTCTTCTGTAGAAGGGAAAAGGAGTAAAACAGATGATCTCTGGAACCAGTTCTGACTCCTACTATGATGCCGTGAATCTATAAAAATTTAGTAGGTTACAAAGTACATACTTTTTACACATCTAACAGAAATTAGAATAAAAATTTTTAGCTGAACAGAACTTTAGAAATCATCAAATTCAATCCTGTCATCTTACAAATAAGAAAACAACCTAGAAGTTTTGAATACTTCTAAAAATATTTTCAGGAGTAATAGAATATTGTCTAGTTTTGGGGTTATTTTTGGTCTAAGTAGTCAGGTTAACTGAACAATTTTTTTATACAAAATATTTCAGATATCCCATCATTTAAGCCTGCCCTAGAATTGACGATATGCCTTCTAGAAATAAGCCTAGCTAAATACACAGAAAAACAATAGCCCAAAAACTATTAACAAACAATTATATATTTATGATAAAAACTTAACTACAAAATTCTTATGGCCTAACTTCTATTAGAGAACATGGTGATTTCGTTTCTAACTAACAAGAGCATACCAAGACAATTCTAGTGACATGATCGGAGTTCAGCCACAGAAAGTGTTTTAAATTAGTGATACGTTGCCACTACTGGTATAATTAGATGAGTTATGGCTAAGTTCCAAAACTAGCTAATTTAATATTAACAAAAGGAGAGAAGCTTAAGAGCTCCAATCCAAGCTGAACTCTTGCATGAACCACATGAATCCTGAATTCCTGAACAGGTGATGAGCATTATCAAGAGCTGTTTCCAGAGGATGCTGATGATTTACAGAGTATTATGAACAGAGCACATGTCAGTGCTCTCTCAGAGTGTTTACCGGGCAATTACATTTCATTACTTCAAACTTACTACTCATCTACATGCCAAGAGCCTGGAAACTTCAGGAGTAACGTCTGTGACCATCAAAATACTTTAAAAATTTTAGAAACTGTTCAGATGCCCCAGCAGATCTTTCAACACTGCAAAATCACTCTAAACGTTAACCTGGACTTCACGGCAAAGTTTTCTTACAAATACAAATGGCAAATTTTCATGAAACTTACCTCTGAATATATGACAAACTATAACCACATATCCGTACATGATACCAAAATTCTGCTAAGTTGGAGGCTGGGGCTAGATAAGTGTCATTCAGCAGAAATAAGACCAACCAAAAGCAAAGATACTGGGGCATTCCCTTAACACAGACACACACATACGCCCTCCTCTGAGGCCTTTATGTTCCCCAGGAGCAAAAGGACAACAATATCATTTTTACTGTCTATTCATACAGTAACCTGCATGGAATTCAACTCATGCTCAGACTATAATGCCAAACCTCACTTCTAAAAAACAGAGAACGAAACAGAGTTATTTACATGATTACCAAAATGTAAACAGATAACTTGACTACCACTTCTTCAAGCTGCTAAGACGAGTTTTTCTCCAAACAAAAAAAGAAGAGGGGGAATAACTTGACAAACTGTTTTTTAAAAAATCACAAATGTCTTTAACTGGCATAATAAAGCAATTACTCCTCCCACCCCAAGCAAATAAAACATGTGCTCAAAAGGTAGCAAGTCTGTTTCTCCTAATTTCATGAAACGAGAACAGGTTGCACTTCCGTACT